CTTCTGAGGAAAGAATTGTAAACAAAATCTTAAACAAAGTTGACGGTGATGTCAGAACTGCAATCAAAAGTCAATTGACCACACCCTATGAATGGGATAATTTCTTACTAATATTCAAGGACATTTATGAGAATACTAGTATCATTAATAAGAGAAAATACTTGAACAAGCCAAGGAGACCTTTTAATGAAATTAAAGCTACTTTCAATAGTGATAAAATGCAAGGACCCTCTAGTACAAAGGTCCAGCCAAGCACATCAGAAAAGAAACCTTTCAGAGCATTCCCAAATTGTGGAAACAAAGATCCAAAACATCAATGGAGAGGATGCAAAGATAAGAAAATTAATATGATTGAAGAAGATGAAGAAGATAGTGATCATATGAATGATGAGTATGATTTTCAAGGCGGAAAATTATCAGATGAATCAACTTCGGATAGTGAAGGAGAAAATACTTATCAGCAACAAGATGTGTGCATTATTGAGACTCTTGAAGGTGATGAGAAAGACATCAACATACACTACAAAAATAGTAATATTTTCCCCGGAGTTTAGAAAAGTAAACTTATAGATAACCCTTTAATTATCTCCGCTATCTGAAGATAACATAAATCCTCAAGTAATCCCAGTGATGATCCAGAGGGTACATGCTCATCATGTTTCTGAACATCATGTATGAGTAAGGATGGTAAACCTTTGTGTGTGTACGCAGAAGCAGCGGAAAAAAACTTCATTCTGGTAATAGCTCCTTGATTGCACTGACAACGGATGGTGGGCAAAATCCTCATCACACAAAGGGTTGTGCATGAGCCCCGTTTCAATGAATACCCTGCAAAACCTTGTCAATATAGGGTCATAATCTTAGCTATGGCATGTACATTCAGTAGCAGAGAAGTATCTCAAATTGTGCAGTTGTCTCGATCAACATGAAGATAACAAAGAAAAGCAGATTACATAATACATACATATGTCCCACTGGTGATATCTCCTATCAATCCGCCCCTCGTTGCCCTAATTGAGAGCAAATATGAGCCGAGGGTTTTCTTGAGTTCCTATCTCTTCTTATTATCAACACGTCAGCAAATAAAGGATACAAATCAACTCATCATCTTTCAATCTCTTTGCAAGACGTGTTGCAATGGTCATCCAAAGACACCTTTCAAAGTCCGTTGTCAAGACTTACCTTGGTCCCTCGTTCTTAGCCGACCACAACCTTTGATCATCAACTCAGCCTCTTCTGAAACCAACACACCGATCAACAACTTCTCTATATATTTGTCTTGAGCGGTTGAGACTTTTTCATTTGATCTCACTCACTTTCCATTTTATATCCTGATCAAGCTCCTTCTGCGACTGATACCAGCTCTGGCAAAAATTTCACTCAATAGTAAGATTTCTTAACTACAGTTATGTTATCACGAGTTATTGATCAGGTAGTACATTATTGTTCGTTTGATAATTATTCTAATCCTTCTAGCCTCCTAGTCACCGTTATGGCCAAAGGAAAGAAGAAAAGCAACCCCAACTCACCAACAACGCAGACACCGTTACACATCATCACGACTAGAAGCAATGCTACTACCCAGGACTTGTCAAAATCCGATGCTCCTGAGTCTAAAGCTGCCCCAGCCACCGCTTCTGTAGATCCTTCCCATGCTCAATCAATACCAGCAGCTGTTCCTTTATTTGGTCATACAACCACTTCATCTACTCCAAACATCGCCAACATCACGGCTCTTGTCCAAAGTTTACACTCCGACCTCCATGTCTTTCTTGAAGCTGACCTCAATAGCAGGATCGGCAAAATCACCAAGCCGTTAATTTATCGAATTCTCCTTCATTTCAACCCTTCAACCAAGCATCGTTTCTCTAGTAACAAACCTGTCTTGTACAAAGCTTTCAAAGACGATGTACTACCACTCATATTACCGTTTCAACTACCCCCGCCTCCAGCTCCGATGCAGACAGATCAGTCTACGAAAGATTTCAATCCCTTGGGACGAAAGACTACTCGAAAAATGCTACACGATGCTGTTCTGGAAAAAGCTCCAAAAACCGAGATCCCTTCAAATGCCAGACTTGATGGTTTGAAACTACTTTATCAAGCGCATGTCGATCCAGATCTCCTTATCCCTGGACAAACCAAGTATATTCAAACGCCACGAGTTGTTAAGTTAGAAAATCTAAAAGACAAAGATATGGAAGATCTGCGACTCGCTTTGCAAGCTTATGCTCCTAAGGTGTTCGTGCATTCGATCCCAATGACACACAAGGTTCTGGTTAGCATATATATGTTGTTTATTCTTGAAGAGGACGCTACCCCGGTTCACCTTGTTCGTGGATTTCATTATTCAGTCTTGGAATGATATCAAGTTGGTCAGTGTAACTTATTCTTACATGTATATCAGATCCTCGCTATTTTAATTGTAGAATTGTATAACCTGATCCTTGGACTTTTTCAAAACCATTAGGTCAAGGAAATGGAGTCGCTGCTTTAACGTGCAGGTATGTCTTTCTCTCTTTCTTTCTTTCTTTGTTTTGTGTGATACATATCTTTACTAATGATCTTATGTTTCACTCTACCTCATATTCTATGGGCTGTCATAAATAGGATTTAGAGATCTAAGTACCAGGAGTTTCACTGTAGAAGTTTCACTGTAGAAAGAACCGGGAGTTTCGCTGTAGAATGAACCAGGAGTTTCACTGTAGAAGGAATCAGGAGTTTCAGGGAATTAGTAGATTGTAACATTTTTTTGTGGCGTTTACCTCTTGATGCAAACAGGTATTTGTAAGGCTCCTCTGTGAGCCTGTATCTTCCAGCTGTTACCCGCCCCCACATCAATCTTCTGTCTGTTGTTTCTTGATATTTTATCCGTCTTATCTTGCTTATCATCTGTGGCTTTGGATACGGTCTGGAATTTCACCTAGCTCTGTATAACACCACATCAAATCATGCCCCCGCGCCCCAAAAAAAACGGTATAATACATCGTGTAGTTTGTCGCTGCCGGGCAAGGGAATGCCATCTTGGTCATTATATCGATGCTAACGGAACTCTTCAACGCGGTGTGGAAGTTGCACCAGAAACACAAGAAGCTCATGCACTTCTAGACAGGCGAGCACTGGCTCGCTCTCACAATCAAAGGACCTCACCTTCTGTGTCCTCTCACACATCCCCAGTTCTTACTCGAAGAACTTCAACGGCTCATGATGTAGACTTGAGCTCAAGATTTTCACACTTAGGCATTGCAACCCTGAACTCTAGATCTAACGACCAATCAATGCTTGCTCAACCCCATTTTACTGAGCAAGAATTTCCTGCAAATGAGCAACAGGGCAGTCCCTTGAGTTCTGTTGAAAGAGAATCTCTAGACGAAACTCCAGCAAACATCAATGTGGATGATCATGTTCCATATGCCTCTACGGAGGCAAAAACTTGCACGGCAGCTATCTTGGCTCGGTATTCAGGTGTACAGGACTATAACTGTGGTGATTATCAATCTCTACAGAGTCTTTTTGGTTGAACTTGCATCCACGCTAACTTGTTTGATGTTTTCATGTTCACAGACCACTTTTTTGAATTCAGTCTAAAATCAATCAACCCTTTATTACTCCATGTAGCTCTCACAACGTCCATTATGAGTATTTTTGACCGACTTTCACAGAAAACTGCATCTTGGCTCTTGGACACCCAACGCATAACGGTAGAACTGTGTCTAGCTCGCGGGCTCATTCCTTCTGGTTCACCCGTTGCACTTGGTGATATGGAAACCAAAATCCTGAAACGATTTCCGAAAACACTCAAAACAGCAATTGGCTGGCTCAATATAGATCCGCCACTGATTGTCATGAATTGCTGTCGAGGATGTTTTGCACTTTACCCACCTACACTCACGCCGCACCATTGTAATCATCTTGTATCCTGTATATCTGGTGGTCCTGTTGAAGCTTTGGACTCAGATGCTGAGCTTGAACAATCTTCATCGCCTGGATATGACAAGGCTTCATCGCTAGGATATGACAGAGAGTTTGCCGAGACAACTTGTGGTCAGCCCCTTTTAAAATTATTTCGGGGAAAAGAGGTGCCCATCAGTCGATACGCATTCCAAAACCTATCCGACTGGATCGCATGTTTGTTATCTCGACCGCAAGTGGAGCATTGGCTTGACCAATCTCTGGAAGAGTCTTCGAAACCGTTCAATGAATCTGACGAAGTGACCGACATTCATCAATCGCGTATTTGGAAACAGTTCCGTGGACCAGATGGAAGTCAGTTCACTGCAAAGAGTGGAAATCTGACATTTGGCTTGTTCATCGACGCCATCAACCCTTATGGCAATAAGATCAGTGGAAAGCACGCATCAATTACATTCATTGTGCTAGTTTGTCTAACTTTACCGGTCAATATCCGACATCTCCCCGAGCATGTCTTCTTAGTTGGAATTGCTCCTGGTCCCCGTGAGCCCTCACTAGAGCAGACAAACTGGATTTTACGGCCAGTAGTTACACAGCTGCAGTCTTTATGGAATCCTGGGCTTTTATTATCACGTACCCACCTTTACAAAGGAGGAAGGCTGATCAGAGCTGCTCTATTACCCTTCATCGCCGACATTCCAGCCGTGAGACGGTCTCTGGGATTTCCTAGCGCCACCGCCGCCAACTTTTGTTCAATATGCCATCTTACGAGAGCGGAAATCAATAACTTAGATCCGACCAATTGGCCACGTCGCACATGTGCTCAGCACAAGAAATGGGCTTGGAAAGTTATGTTAGCATCTGGAAAAGTCGCTAAGTTTAAGCATGCCGTCTGAAAAAAATTGGATCAGCCTCCTTTTT